GAAAACGAGGATATTGACCACATGGAGACGAGGAGAAGAATGACTCATGGGCCCCTTTCTTGGGGCATTCTGGGTGCTTCCTGTAGGTCTCCTGTGGGTCTCTTGGGGGCATCCTGGGGCCTCTCGGGGGCCTCTTGGGCCTCCTAGACGTCTCTAGGCTCGTCCGGCGCATTCGGATGCCGTCTTGGGGGCTTGTTTGGACAGTCGTGGTGCCTTCCTGTGGCGCTCTGGGAGCCGCTTTGGAACCCTCTTGGGAGCCTCTTGGGCGGTCTTGGGGTCCTTTTTGGGCGGATTTGGGGCCTTCTTGGGGGCCCCTTGAGCTGTCTTGGGCCTCTTAGGCCGTATTGGGCGATCGGAAGCTCCACCACTCGAGAATTTCAGAATCCAGCAAACACCCAAGGACAATCCTTGTTGTTCGCTTCCCTGGGCTCATCCCAGAGGGGCCTATTGGGGCTTTCTGGGCCGTCCTGGGGAGCTCTTGACCCGTCTGACGCCTTCGAGCCGTTTTGAGGGCCTCTTTGGGCAGTCTTATTGCTTTCTTGGAGCGGTTTAGGGCCGCCTTGGGGCCATCTTGGGAACCTAATGAGCAATCTTGGAGTCCTCTTTGGCCGACTTGGGGCCCTCTTGGGAGCCTCGCAGGTTGTCTTGGAGATGCTTTGATCACCTTTTGGGCCGTCTTGGGCAATCGGAAACCTAAGCAGGCGAGAACTTCAAAGTCCTTCAAAAACCGACTGAACATCGTGTCTGGTTGCCTTCCAAGGGCAATTTGGCAGCCTTGGGGAGGCTGCCTGGGTCTACGTTGAGCCCTCTTGGGTCTTGGGCCGTCTTAGAAGAGGGCGCTTCGCCTCTCGGGCGCCCTCGGACGCCGTCTTGGGGGCTTCTCTGGGTCGTTTTGGTGCGCTCGGCCGCGTTTGGGGCCCTCTTGGGAGCCTCTTGGGCGATCCTGGAAACCTCTTGGGCTGACGTTGGACCCTCTTGGGGACCTCCTTGGCTGTCTTGGAGCTGTCTCGGAGCCCACTTGGGCCGTCAAGAGAGCCTCTTAGCCGTCTTGGGCCATCTTGGCATGTTTTCGCGTCATCTTGGCCGTCTCGGAGGCCATCGTGACCGCCCGGAGGCCGAAAAGAGAGCCATAGTTCAATCTCGTTTGCGATGCAGAGGGGGGTCGGACCTAGAAAACACTACACTTATGGCGAAACTCCCAATCATCTGCAGTTGTGAATACCGTAGTGGTGTGTATCATCTGTGGTGGATCTCCCTATGGGGCAAGAAACGTGTCAGGGGTGTGCCGCAACGGGCGCGGTGGTGCCATGCGAGCGCGGCCACTGCGGCCTTAGGTGGAGCTCCCTATGGGGCACGGAACGTGTCAGGGGTGTGCCGAAACGGGTGCGGTGTTGCCATGCGGGCGTTGCGGTGGAGCTCCCTATGGGGCCCGCAACGTGTCAGTGATGTGCCGAAACGGGTGCGGTGGTGCCGTGCGGGCGCTGCCCCTGGGGCCTCAGGTGGAGCTCCCCATTGGGCACGAAACGTGCGAGTGCGGTGGTGCCATGCGAGGGCTGCCATTGGGGCCTTAGGTGGAGCCCACGAAACGTGTAAGGGATGTGCCGAAAGGGGGGTGCGGTGGTGCCGTGCGGGCGCTGCCTTTGGGGCATTAGGTGGAGCTCCTTATGGGGCACGAAACGTGCGAGGGGTGTGCCGAACAGAACGCGGTGGTGCCATGCGGGCGTTGCCACTGGGGCCTTCGGTGGAGCTCCAATGAGGCCCGAAGCCCGAAACGTGTGCGGGGTGTGCCGAAAGGGGCACGGTGGTGCCATGCGGGCGCTGCCACTGGGCCCTTCGGCGGAGCTCCCTATGGCCCCGAAACGTGTGAGTGATGTGCCGAAGGTGCGGTGGTGCCACGCGGGCGCTGCCTCTGGAGCCTTAGGTGGGGCTCCCTATGGGGCACGAAGCGCGTGAGGGGTGTGCCGAAACTGGTGCGGTGTTGTCATGCGGGCGCTGCTACCAGGGCCAGAGGTGGAGCTCCCTATGGGGCCCCGAAACGAGTGAGGGTGTGCCGAAACGGGCGCGGTGGGGCCATGCGGGCGTTGCCCCTGGGGCCTTCAGTGGAGCTCCCTAAGGGGCCACGAAACGCGTGGCTGCCTCTGGGGCCTTCGGTGAAGCCCCCTATGGGGCCACGAAACGCGTGAGTGGTGTGCCGGAATGGACATGCGGAGGGCAGAGGCAGGGGTGGGAGGAGGGAGGAGGCGGGAGGAAGGAAGCGGGAGGAGAACGCGGGTCGCTGTCGCTGTCTCTTCAAAACGAGGACCCAACACAGGATGGTTGGGAAAAGAAAAGCTCCCAAAGAGACCACAGGAGCCTTCTAACACGCCCACTCCGTGCAGGCACGGTGGATGATATTGATAAATACAGCAACGACCGATTCATGGTGCCCTGCCAAACACAGCATTCACGCCAACGTAAGGCTGGTCACAGGACAGGAGCAGGCGTAACAACGACCGATTGGACGACATACCCAACGTGCCAGGCGTCACGACGTCACGCCGCCCTGCCGGGAGCAGAACTGAACAAAAACAGCTATGCATGAAACATAGTAGACCCGAACAAAAGTCACAGAGTATTATACAGAAGAGACCGGGTAATGCCGTCCTAATATACGCGACATGCGCCAAAGAAACCCGCATTGGCCACAAAGTCAAATTGTAGCACACACGACCGATTAAACGACATATTCAACGTGGCAGGCGTCATGACGTCACGCTGGCCCGAACATAATATAGCACAATATTGTACAGCACACCGGTTCACGGCCTCTCACTAAGCTAACATTCTAACATAATCGACCGTACCATCATCTAAGCGAACGCGATTTGCGCGCGGAGGTTAGGCTGGCCACAAGAAAAAACAGGCGCGGCAACGACCGATTGGACAACGTATCCGACGAGACAGGTGTGACGACGCCACGCCGGCCTGTCGAGAACACACCTTAATATTGACAGTATCACACATGATAACACAGCTGAACACCCTGAAGTAATTACAGCAACGACAGATTCATGGCGCTCTGTCAAGCGCAGCATCCACGCCGACGGAAGGCTGGCCACAGGACAAACACAGGCGCAGCATCGCCCGAGTAGACGACACACCAAGCGTGGCAGGCGCCAGAAGCCGTCGCGCCTTCGGAGAAGTTTTTTTCTGTCTTCGGGGAAGGCTCAGAAAATTGTTCAGAAGGCCGGGAGACTGCTGAGTCTTCTGAGAAGGCCCGCTTCTTGTCTTTTCCCCCCTTCGCTCGCCGCCGACAGAGTATCTTTCAGCAGAGGCGGTGTGATGCCGTCCTATCATACGCGAGATGCGCGCCGAACCCACGCTGGCCACATAAGCAGGTTGTAGCAGCAAGGACCGAGTAGACGACAGGCGTCACGGCGTCACGACTTCGCGCCGTCTTGTCGAGAGCAGAACAGAACAAACCGTGTGTGCATATGAACAGAACATAACCGAACACAACGTCACAGAGTAGAGTACAGCGGAGACCGGGTAATGTCGTCCTATCATGCGCGACATGCACCGAAACAAATTGTAACAGCAACGACCGATTAGGCGATTGGTGGCACGACGTCGCGCCGCCCTGTCGAGAGCAGGACGTAACAAACCAGATGTGCAGATGACAGAAAAGAACCGAACAACACGTCACAGAGTAGAGTACAGCAGAGACCAGGTAGTGCCGTTCTATCATACACATCAAACGTTGCAGGCGTCACGATGTCGCGCCGACCTTTCCAGAACACGACATATCATATCATAGCGTAGCGTAACGTAACAGAACATCATGCATTCCACTGGGACAGAATCCAACCGAGCATGATACAGCACAGTACTGTACAGCAGTCGCCCCGGCGTTGCGCGGGTCCTGCGGGTTGTTCCAGTAGGCGCGCGCGTTGTCGGGAACAAACGCCGAAGGTTTCTGTGGGGATCGTTCGACTCAAAATAATCGGATGGTTTCTGATCCCTTTTGTTAATTCGTTAGGCCGGTTTGATTTCCGGGGAGCCCGACGAGGCCAGTATTCAAAGATCGTTTACAAAGTAAAGGGTTATCAGTGCGCGTTGCCTCTCGAGGGCCTCGCGGGCGTCCTCTTGGAGCCGTCGTGGGACGTTTCGGACGCTTGTTGAGCCTCCAAATGCCACCGCATCGCTCTCGATGGTCTCGTTTCGGCTGCTCGGGCGGCTTGTTTGGCCATCTTTGGGCTCCCTTCTCTCCTGTAGGTTTGGGCTCTTGTGGTGTCCTCTTGGGATACGACGGGGGGGCTATTGTGAGCCCAGTTTGGGTCGCCTTCGGGGGCACCCTCCACGTGCAGGATTGTGCAACAAGCATAGCGCAATTTCAGGTGTGTCACTTGGGGATTCTGGGTTCGGCGTTCTTGTGTCAACTTGGGGGCTATTCATTCGTCTTCGATTCCTCTGGAGCATGCATCATCCTTCGGGGTGTTTTGTAAACCACCTTGGAGGCCGCCAGGGAAGCGCCGCCCAGAGAGCCTCAGGAGCGGGGGGAGGGGTCAATGAGGAACGGTGCAGGAAATTGCATAAGTCATCCCAGAGGGCATTCGGCATTACAAGATGCCCAAGCGCGCCAGGTGGCATCGCCTGGGGCATGGGATGTTCGCTTCCACTCAGCATGTTCCAAGTGTATGGGATGTGTTTTGAATGGTTCTACGTTGTTCGGAGCCAAAGCGCCGTATACGACTCATGATAATCATGCGCGTTTGGACCAGCACAGTTGTTGCAGGCTTCTTTTTCACAAGTTTGTACGTAATGCGAGCTTTATGTTTGCATACTACGCACGTTGAAGCAATATGTGGATTCCCCCGTCCAACTTTGAATGCGCTTGCATCACCCCTAAAACAGATCATGGTTCGCAATTTTCACGTGTGTGTTGTTTTTGCATTATGGCCGTCATGTGTGTTCTGATGCCATTGCGGATCGTTGCTTCCGTCATCATTGTCGTTTTCGTTAGTTATGCCGTATGGTTGGTTGAGGTTCGGGGTTGTGCGGGAAGCGCCGCACATTCACGCGCGCGCGCGTCCGTAGGCTCCCGCTGCGGGCCTGGGGTCTCGCGGTGCGTTCTGAGTACGTACATGTTTGCATGTTTTGCCTGGGAGGAGCAGGGCGGCATCGAGCTCATCGAAGGTCAAGAGTGCATTGAAGGCAAAGATTTGTTGAGGGCCATAGTTTCTTTTGAAGGCTGTTCCTCTTCAGGCATGCACTCTTCCAGTGCTGTTACCTCTTGTTGATGCGTTTACCCTCCGGCATTGTTCGTTGCCCTCATTACGGGCATGTTGAGCAGCAGCAGATCGGGCAGAGTTGCCAAGCGGCGGAACCAACGCCCCGTCTGCTTCCCCCCAGCCCGAGTGATGGAAGGAGGAGGAGGAGGAACGGTAGGCGGGTGGGCGGAGAGTGAGAAGGGGAAGTGAAGGAAAAAGGCAGAGAAGGAATACAGGCCGAAACGTTGAGAGGCGGCAGCCCGGAAGAAACGCAAAAGCCAAGTTGTCTCTGTTTCAGCGCCGAGACGTTGGAGCAAGCACCGTTTTGGATTCAGGAGATCCCGCCTTCGTCTCAGAAGGGCAGGGTGAGGAGGAGGAGGAGGAGGAGGAGGAGGAGGAGGAGGACAAGGACGAGGACGAGGACGAGGACGAGAAGGAAGACGAGGAGGAGGAGGAGGAGGAGGAGGAGAGAGGGAGGAGGGGAGAGGAGGAGGAGGAGGAGGAGGAGGCTAGGCTGAGGATGGCAAGGGGAGGGGGAGAGGAGGGAGGAGGAGAGGAGGAGGGCGAGAGGAGGAGGAGGAGGAGGAGGAGGATAGGAGGAGGAGGAGGAGGAGAGGAGGAGGAGAGGAGAGGAGGAGGAGGATAGGAGGAGGATAGGAAGGAGGGAGGAGGAGGAGGAGGAGGAGGTGGAGGAGGAGGAGGAGCAGGAGGAGGAGGACAAGGATCGGAGGAGGATCGAAGGAGGAGGGGGAGGAGGAGAGGAGGAGGATGATCGAAGGAGTAGGAGCAGGAGGAGGAAGAGGAGGAGGATAGGGGAGGAGGAAGGAGGAGGGGGGGTAGGAGGGAGGAGGAGGAAGGAGGAGGAGGATAGAGAGGATGAGGAGGAGAAGGATAGGAGGAGGAGGAGGACAGGAGGAGGAAGGTGAGGAGGGAGAGAGGAGGATAGGAGGGGGAGGAGCAGGAGCAGGAGGAGGACGAGGATCGGAGGAGGATCGAAGGAGGATCGAAGGAGGAGGGGGAGGAGGAGAGGAGGAGGAGGATCGAAGGAGGAGGAGCAGGAGGAGGAGAGGAGGATAGGAGGAGGATGAGGAGGAGGAGGAGGAGGAGAGGATAGGAGGAGGAGGAGGGCTAGCAGGAGGAGGAGGAGGAGGAGCAGGAGGAGGAGGAGGAGGAGCAGGAGCAGGAGGAGGAGGAGGATCGGAGGAGGATCGAAGGAGGATCGAAGGAGGAGGGGGAGGAGGAGCGGAGGAGGAGGATCGAAGGAGGAGGAGCAGGAGGAGGAAGAGGAGGAGGAGCAGGAGGAGGAGGAGGAGGACCGCTGTAAACCGGAGAGTCATCTTTGATGTTGGAATTAACCCTCCCTCCAAGCTTCCTCTTCATAGGCCCCTACAACGGTTCAATTTTCAATTAGGGAATTGCCTCGTTGGAAGACAGCCGTTTGAAGACCCAGAAGCATGCCAAAACAGTGTTCTCGGGATTCCAACGCCGCGGATCAACCTGACTGCTGCGTCCTGACGATCTGGAGTCGTGCCAGAACGCCGTTTTTGGGATTTCAGCACCGCGAGTCAACATAAGTCTTGCACCCGCATAATCCTGAATACTTCCAAGACGCAATTTCTGGTACGCTGATCACGGGAATCCGTGAAACTCTTCCAATTTGTTTCACGAACGTGCGCGGCGGTAGAGCGAGAGCCACACTTTGAAAACCCACCCGCCTTCAATCCGTGAAATTCTGTCACCTTCAAAAAACGACTGTGCGCAGCGCTAACACGAGAGCCACATTTTGAAAGCGACCCGCCTTCAACCCGTGAAACTCTCGCGATTTTTTAGAACGAATGAGCGCGGCGCTGAGGTGAGAGCCATATTTTGAAAAAGAGACGCCCTCAATTCGTGAAGCTCTTGCAAATGTTTAAAAGGAATTGGCGCGGCGCTAAGGCGAGAGCCACATGTGTTCAAATCGAATATGCGCGGCGCTAAGGCGAACACCAGATTTTGAAGCCCTCCATCTGTGAAGCTGTTGTCACTTTATAAGCTTCAGGGTCACAATTGGTGAGGAAGTCTCAGGCGAAACGCGCGGCCCGCCCTAAAAACTGCAAGAAGCACCCTGCTTGCCTCCAGAGTGCTCTGGGTGTCTTGGGCTTCGATGGTTTTGCGATGGGAAGCGTGACGTTCCCGCACCAAGAATCGATGGACGTCCTGGGGTCTCAGGGTTGGGTTTCTTGTGCAAAGGTTTCTTGTGGACTGGCCTCCACTGTAAACTGTTGGAGGTCCGCACGGACTTTTTGGAGCGGTTGTCGGAACGGGTGGGGGGGTTGGAGAAAGCGGAGGATGAGGAGAGGGAGGAGGATTGAGGGGGGCGGGATTTGGCAGGCCCAGTCGGAAGGTTCATCACCCCCCATTGATAAATACCCCATGGCCATGGGGTATCTATCAAGGAAAAGGAGGAGGAGAAGGAGGAAAAGGAGGAGGAGGAGGAGGAAAAGGAGGAGGAGCAGGGGGAGGAGGAGGAGGAGGAGGGAGGAGGAGGAGGAGGAGGAGGAGCAGGGCAGAGCGCTGCCTGCAAGCAAAAACAGTGCCCCCAGGGCCATATGGCCGCGTGTCCGGCGCGGGGCCGTCCGCGCCGCGGAGCCCCGAGGGCCGCGCGGGCGACGCCCGCGTGCACGGCGGCGCCGCCGCCGCCGTCGGAGGGCCCCGGGGACCAGCGCAGGGCACCCTCTCCTCCTCCTCCTCCTCCTCCTCCTACCTCCTCCTCCTCCTCCTCCTCCTCCTCCTCCTCCTCCTCCTCCTCCTCCTCCTCCTCCTCACCCTCCTCACTCCTCACTCCTCACTCCTCACTCCTCCTCCTCCTTCACGTGGCCCCTCAGGCCAGACTTCGCGAAGATGGTCCTGAAGAGCACGCAGGGCAAGAGACGCATCCCGATAAGGCGCGTGCGAGAGGAGAGCGTGAGTGAAGCGGCAACCCAACGTGACCAGCTACAGTGCCGAGATCGGGCCGCCGTGGGCCTCCCTCGGTTGAACCCCGCCACGTCCCCCTGTGGGCGGGGGCCGAGGGAGGGAGAACGCAGTGCTGCGGGGCAGCGCTGACCCGTGCGCGCGCGCCGAGCGCGCGCCCGCGCGGGCGTGCCGCGACGTGGCGGCCTGAAAGAGCTCTGAAAGAGCTCCTCCTCCTCCTCATTCGCCTCCTCCTCCTCATCCTCCTCCTCCTCCTCCGCCTCGTCCTCTTTCTCCTCCTCCGCCTCGTCCTCTTCCTCCTCCTCCTCCTCCTCCTCCTCCTCTTTCTCCTCTCCCTTCTCCTCCTCTGGCATCCTCTCGGCTTGGGGGGGAATGGCCCTGAGATCTTGGTGCTGCAGTCTTTTTCGCAACGGGCGTGTTCTCCCAGCCTCGGGCCCCGGGGCCCTCACAGGTCGATGCGGCTCTAAACAGGGCGCAGAACGATGGGGCCCGGGGCTCCAGCGGTGGTGTGTTGCGATGGCAGCATGTTTCTGCAACACCATACTTGAGAGAAGCGACGCCACCACCAGGGGGGCCACCTCCAGCGACGAAGATCACGATGCCTCGCCGAGCTGGAGATGGGGGACGTCTCGAGTGAGAGGGGGGACCACACCACCAAGGGGACACCCCAGGGCTCCGTCCGCTGGTGTTCCTAGTTGTGGTGGTGGTGTTGTTGTTGTTGGTGTTGGTGGTGGTGGAGGTGTCGCTCTTCCCTGTTCCTTCACTGCGCCCTGGGATAGTCGAAAATCGACGGCGGATCAGAAGCTGACCCCAGCGAAGGGGTCCAGGAGGGCCAGGTTGGAAAAAGCCACGAGGTCGGATGCCTGGGGAGGTCAGGTAGTCTTCGAGTACCCTTCTCGGGAGGGCTCAGCGTGAAGCCAGATGAGGTTACTTGTGTGCGTCTACTCTCCGAGGTCAGGGTGCTGCACCTCGTACCTGTTTCTCTCTCTCTCTCTCTCTTTCCCTCTCGCTCTCATTTTGTTTTGTTATCTCTGTATATATATATATGTATATATGTATCGTTATTCCTTTATTTCTTTATTTCTTTCTCCGTATCTCTCTCTCTCGCTCCAATGCAGTCAGACGGGGTCGGTTGGGGATCGCTCCACCTCTACTCCTCCTGGGGTCGATTGGGGATCGCTCCACCTCTCCTCCTCCTCCACCCCTTCCTCTGTCCACCTACTCCCTCACGTTTCCCTTCTCCTCCCTTCTCCTCCTCTTCTTCCTCCTCCTCCGCCTCCTCCTCCTCCTCCTCTCCTCCTCCTCCTCCTCTTCCTCCTCCTCCTCTTTCCTCCTCTTCCTCCTCCTCCTTCCTCCTCCCTCCTCCTCCTCCTCCTCCCCCCCTCCTCCTCCTCCTCCTCCTCCTCCTCCTCCCTCCTCTCCCTCCCCCTCCTCTCCTCCTCCCTCCTCCTCCTCCTCCTCCTCCTCCTCCTCCTCCTCCTCCTCCTCCTCCTCCTCCTCCTCCTCCTCCTCCCCCCTCCGAAGCCATTTCGGCTCAAGCCATGCAGCGCCCCCCCCCCTCTCGGCCCCCAGCCTGGCGCCCGCTCCGCGGGCCTGTGCCACGGAGGAGCCGAGGCGTCGCCCGTCGTGTGCGGCCGCAGCGCCTCGCCGCCGTGCCCGGGCGCGCTGCACGGCGGCCCCGCCGTGTGCAGGCCGCGGCCGGCGCCCTGCCGGCGCTGGCCGCGGCCGCGGGGCCCCGCGCCCGCACGATCGGAGGAGGGCGGGGCTCCGCGCGTGGCTCCGCGTGGCCGATGGCCCACCGCCGCTCGGGCTCGGTGGGGGGCCACACGCGAAGCCTGCCCCTGCCTCCCAAGGATTTCGGAGGGGGAGGGTGCGGCTCGCCTCGCTCGGGAGCTCCCGAGCGAAGTGCGCCCCACCCTCCCCCTCCGAAATCCTTGGAGGGCAGGGGCAGGCTTCGCGTGTGGCCCCCTGACTTGGGCTCCTCGGCGGGGGCTCCGAGGGCGCGCGGCCGCGGTCGGCCCTCGGGGCCTCCCTGGGCGCTGCGGGGCGCTGGCCGCCGGGCCTCCTGCTCGGCCGGCTCCGGCGGGCCTGGGCGCACCGGGTGCGGCCGGCGCCGGGGTGGTCGGAGTCCTCCCGGAGGTCTGCTCGAGCAGTGGCGGAGCGCCCTGGCGTGCCTACTTAGGCCCACCAGACAATGTGCTGAGAACCTTCTGTGGTTTCCACGAGATGTTCTTGGAGCATTTCTGGCTGGGACGGGCCTGTTTTACCCCATCGGGCCTGCGTTCTAAGAACATGAATTTCTTGTTATTAGAACATTTCTGGGTTCTAAGAACATCTCGTGGTAGGGCTATAGAAATGCTGGGACGGTCGGTCCCTGCTCAAGTCCTCCTGGAGATCTTCGGGGAGACGGTGGGTCGACCAACAGGTTTCACGAAATTGCTGGACCCCTTCTGGTGAAGCAGCCCCTGTGTCGTGCGCCGCTGGTGGCGTCTTGCCGCCGTCGTCGGAAGGCACGCCAGTGGCGTCGCCTCCGCCTGCTGGACTTCAACGGGTTCGGCGCGCTGAAGGTCCTGGAATCGTTGCTCGGGATTGTGGGTCGAATGAAACTGGAGTTGCTAGCAATTGTCATGTAGCTCGTGTTCATCGCCCAGATAGCCCCTCGAGCTTCCTGAAGTCGCTCGTCCTTGCCCACGCCATGGCTCTCTTCGTCAGCTTCATGGGCCTCGTGGGTCAAGGCCTGTCCTCAAATTACTGGCGTGTAGGACAGGGCTCCCCACGACATCTTTGTTTTCAATCGAGCGCTGACCGCGGCCATCCTGCCCTTCGACTTCCTTGGCCTGGAGGCGGCTTGGGGCGGCGGCTGCGGAGGAGCTCCTCGGGCTCATCCGGCATGCGGACGCGGGGGATGCGACGACCGTGGCTTCTGAGAAGGGGCCGACGGGAGCTCTGAGATGCGACAGTCCCCTCTGCTGAGCGCCTGTGCCTGTCTTGGCACGCGCAGGGTAAGCCCTGCGAGGCCTGCCTGGAACTGCTGCCGCGCGTGTGCTGTCGCCGTAGGGCCGCGAGCCGAGCCCTCCTTGCGCACCGGGGTTGCGTCGCAGGGCGCCCAGGGGAGGGGAGGACACAACAGTTGCCTTGGCAGCCACGGCGGAAAAGGACCCCCCCCCGAGAACTGAGCGATGAACGGGCGTTCCTCCCAGGGAACCGACATGGAAATGGGTGGTCTGCAGTGCGGCCGCGGCCGCTACGGTGCAGGAGGTATCCCAATCGGAAGAACTGTCTGAGGGGCGTGCGGCTAGGCTTTCTAGACGTCTTCAGGCCGCGGGGGGGCCGCGGGGCCGCGGGGGTCTGCAACTGCAGGCCCTCCCTCTCGTGCGCTCGTCTTGCGCACCGCGCGGCGGCCGCCACCAGCGTTGTAATTATCCTCCTCCCCTGGGTGATGGGAGGCGGCCTGACTCCACTGGAGTCTCGAGCAGGTCATCCAATCATGCAAGGACGATCCGGAGCGGGGCGAGCATGCGGTTCTTGGGAAGGTGTCGAGGCGTCGGGGAAGACCTTATAGAAAAGATCACGGCATCGGTGGTACGGTTTCGGCGGCGAGCCTTGAGGGGTAAGACAGAGGGGGCAAGCCTTCTCAGAAGGCTCAGAAAGCCCGACGGGTTTTCCGAGAAGATCTCTGAGCCTTCTCCGACGGCGCAGGCGGCTTCAGAGAAGGCCCGAGTGCATCTGCGAAGCCACGTCGCCTTCTGGCAAGGCCTGCACCCTCCCGATCTCTTCCGGGTTCGCCGCCGACGGGTCCACGGCGTCCCGGTCAATTTGGTCGGCTTTCGCCCCTGGCTGGCCCGATCTCGTCGCGCCGTGTGCGGAGCGTGTGGGTGCGCGCCGATGGCGTGCTTGGACCGTCCGGATGTGGTCGCAGTGCGGTGCGCCCTGCTGCTTCCGCGGCGCTGATGCATCCCGCCGCCCCCTACGAGTTCTCGCCCCCACTCCCAGGGTGCTCCACTGCAATCACAGGGGATCGTTAAGGGGTCGATCACCCTCCTTCCTTCGTCCTCCTCCTCCTTTCCCTCCTCCTCTTGCATTTTCCCCATCCCTCCCTATCTCCTCCTCCCTCATCCTCCTCCGGCCCTTGGTTCAGGAGCCTGGTAGACTGCACTGGATATTGGCCCTGGTAAGATGGGCAAGCGCAAGCCGATCTTTTCACGATCTGATGCGGCCCGAGTTTTTGTTCAGCCGGGCGCGGCCGCTTCCGTTCGGCCGTTCGGTTTCGGCTGTGTGCTGATGCGGCCTACAGTCAACCATGATAATTTGCAAGGATGGGGCAACTTGGCCAGGGCACCCTTGCATCCTTCCCCCTTCGGCGCATCCTTGCCAACTTTCGCTCGACACGGCGTTCCAGGGCCCTCAACATGGCGTTCCAAGGCCCTTGCATCCCTACCGCGCATCCTCAGTATCCTGGTTGGCTGTACAGTGCCGTTTTTTTTTATACATGCTCCGCGTGCGGATCATGTATTAAACATGCAGGGATTTAGTATTAAAAGCATTGATGAATTGATGCATTGATGCATTTTAGTAAATTCATCATTCATATATATATATATATATATAAACATCAAATGTCTAAAACAAACACATGTATTAGAACCTGCCCTGTACTTCGGCGCACGCTCCGAGACAGCTCGAGCCAAAGCGGTCTGGTGCTGGCCGCGGG